AGCTCTGAATGTGGTTGTAGGCGAGGAAGGAGGCGGCGTAGACGGCGTAGCCGAGGCCGCCAAAGGACAGGGTGAGGCGCAGGCCGAGGACGTTGGCAATGGTGCCGGAGAAGAATCCGACGACGGCGAAGACGCCGTAGAGGGCGGTGTTGGCGTACTGCTGGGCGCGGGCGTCGACCTGGCCGCCGCCACCGAGGCCGCTCAGGGCGTTGAACATGCCGGGGCACATGAAGCAGACGAGGGAGACCATGAGCAGCTGGATGGTGGGCGAGGCGTACCAGATCTCCTTGCCGCGGAACTTGAAGCCGCGGTAGATCCAGCCATTGGGGCGGTCGACGTAGACGTCCGAGTGGACGTCGCTGTCACGTTGGACCTCTGGGGCCGGGCCGGTGGTGACCTCGTTCCTCTTCTCGTCGGCCATTGTGTTGTTGGAAAGTGGTGAGTGAGCGCGTGCGACGACGAGCAGGTGGTGATGCGAGGGTGAGAAGAGAGTGGAGGCGACGCTGGTATTTCAATCGGGTTGTTGATGGCCGATCCTGGCTTTCCTGGCTTGTTTTTCGGCTCCTGTTAGTTGAGCAAGCGAGCGATCGAGCGCGTGCAGATCCAAAGAGTCGTCGTACCAGGGGAGGGGGGGAGGAAGAATGATATATAGAAGCAGTTGGGGTGGGAAGAGAAAAAAAAAGGGTCCTGAGCAGGGGTCTCTTGGCCCGTCTAGTGAGGTAGTATCTTAGTCGCAGTGGCTTGAGATGGGGTGAGCCAGAGCTACGTGACAGCCGGCCGGTGGTGGTGAGGAGGAGTAGTAAGAGGAGGGCAAGTCGAGCTGGAACGCGCCATGGGCGAGGCACGCAACGAGCGCGCTCGTCCGTACGTGCAGTATGTCAGGTTGGGAGCCGGCCAACAAGGGATTTGCAGCACACCTCGGGACGCATGTCAGATGTGCTGGTGACAACATGAGTGTTGAGTAGGCAGAGAGAGCACTCAGTTGAACCCAGGCCTTGTCCATGAGGTTCAGTCTTGAAATGGCGGGGTCTCGCTGTTACCAATGTTGCAGTCGCGCCGCCGCCGCCTGCCTGCGTGTATTGACAGATGAGGCTGATAAGGCAGGCACAACAGGGACTCCATGTCACTGCAACGAGTGCGCGCACGCGACGCCGTCACCCTGGAAAAACCGCCCGACAATTGCCGCTGCAGCGGCTGCAGGCCTGCAACCTCCAGTCCCTATCTGGCGTTACCCCAGATAAGGTGCTGCGAAGGACCGAATGCTAGGTGCTGTGATTGGTCGCCAAGACACGCTGATCGCCAGCCATCCGCCGGTGTGTGCAGTGCAGCACGTCCGTCGCCTGGGCAGGAATCAGTGGCGCTCCTGCCTTGGATGGGCAAAAGAGTCAACTTCATGTCCAGCCCATTTTCTTTCTCATCGACATCCAAGGACCAACTCAGTCTGGGAGCAACATGGGCTGGAGCACGAGGCTCCGAGCAATCTCCAGCCATCCCCCTATCGTATGCTCCACCATGCACGCACGCACGCACGCACGCACGCGCAGGGCCCTGTTGCACCCGCACCGCGCCCGCTCCCGCGTCTCTCACGGGGTCCACAATGTAACGTTTCGCCAACAAACGTCCGTCCAGTCCAGCCAACGACCCTCCCTCCGTCGCTCGATGAATTGGTAGGGACACTACCGTGGACTAGCAAGTACAGTACGCACGGTTGGTTGCCAACAACACATCAATCACACTTCTCGCTGTCCGGGGTACGTGCCAGCGCAAGCGCCACCTGTTGCACGCCATCCCCATGTCGTCAATTGCCTATCAATGGCGCTCGTCTCGTCCCTCCACTGTCCGTGATTAGCTCGCAGCGCGTCTCGGCCATGTTACATTGAGCCGCACCAGCAAACCATGTTGACACTGACAGCTATTGCGAGTACGCAGATCTCCAAGGTCGAGGTTCGACACCGAGCTCCTGGGTTCTTCGTTATCATCACTGCATTGCATCTGCACTTTGATAACCCATGCCACGTTATCGAAGCACCCGAAATGGATCCGTACGTACTTTATTTTAGAGACGACACGATGCGGCGGACCCCACGCTCCACGATGGCATTGAAACGTCCCTCTTCCCTCGACCCGGGCGAGCCGTCATCGGCAACTTACGTACTAGTCTAGTCTCGTCACATGAAACTCTGTTTCCCCTTTGCGATTGATGCTCATGGACGGCGGCTAGCTTGAGGCCGAGCATCAAAACCTACCCTGAACCATGCGACTGGCTTGCCAGGTGCACGTCACGCCGAACTTGCCCTTGGCCACACACACACAAAGAGGCTGCCTACCGGGACGAAGTAATGGGGTGATCTCGTACCCAACGACCTGTTGCTTCACTCTTCATGAAGAGCAGCATCTTGCCGATTGGTACTTGGTCTCCGCCCTGACGCTCAGTTGGGCTGGGAATGTACAAAGTGACAGGAATACTGCATATACGACCCCCCTAAGCGAGATCAGGCACCCGACTTGGTGGCCACCACAAACAGCCGGGGGTACGGCAGCATGACCTTGGCGTCAGCCTGCGCCGGATAGACCTCCTTGATCTTTTCGAGGTAGGCCGCGAGGTAGGCCTCCCTCTGGGCGTCGTCGAGGACGGCGAGGTAGGGGGCGAGGCCAGTGCCCCTGACCCACTCGACAATGGCCTCGTGGCTCTCGAGGATGTGAAAGTAGGTGGTGCGCCAAATCTGCACGTCGGCGCACAGGGGCCGGAGGCCGTCGTAGAGCTCGACAGGCGCGGGGAACTGGTCGCGCTTGATGCCGGCGCGGCGCATGGTGTCCTCCCAGGGGGTGCCGGGGGCGTGGGCGACGTCGGCCATGGCGCGGTGCGAGGGCTCGGTCATGTTGAAGGGGACCTGGAAGGCGAGGACGCCGCCGGGGGCGAGGTGGCCGACGAGGCGCTGGAGGACCTCGAGGCGGGTGCCGTTGGGGAGCCACTGGAAGACGGCATTGGAGAAGTACAGGTCGACGGGGCCCGGGGGCTGGAAGGTGGTGACGTCGGCCAGGTCAAAGGAGACGCCGGGGAGGGTCTGCCTGGCCTTGCGGAGCATGTCCTGGGAGGTGTCGACGCCGGCGAGGTCGGCGGCGGGATAGCGCGCCGCGACGACGGCGGTGGAGTTGCCGGGCCCGCAGCCCAGGTCGATGATGCGCCGAGGATTGGCGACGGGCACGCGGGCGAGGAGGTCGCGCGAGGGCTGTGTGCGCTCGCCGAGGAACTTGGAGTACTGGTTGGCGGACCATGTGTCTGCGGCGGCTGGGGATGAGGAGGACATGGCGCGGGACGCGGTCTTGCGGCCGAGCTGGGTGATGGACGATCTCCAGAGGTGGGACATTTGCGTATGAGTGGTACGGTACAGGCGTGATGTGAGGGTGACTGATGCTCATCGATAGCAGGTGAGGAAATGTCGTGATGGTTCGTTCAGTGACATCAAATGTTGTATATATATATGGATGGATGTGTTTATATGTATCCGTATGTGTATGTGCGCTTATGTGCATGAGACGGCAATAAGATGCCGGCGAAGCAGGGATATATGCATGTACCGGGGCTGGCGTTGGGGGACTCGGCGCAAGGAGCGGCGACCGAGCTGCGACGCGAGGACTTTATGCTGCTCGTTTTCGGACATGCGAGTCGAGGTATAAATGATTCAGCCGATCATGGAAGTATTACTATCAAGGGAGAGGCCTCGGATATGCTGCGCTGGGATAATGTCAATGGGCTTGCTGCTAACTCATTTGATCTGGGGTAGCCAATTGCCCAGATGGAGTCGCGCAACCAAACGGCGCGGTGGGGCGCTTTCCCACTATGGCAAGATCTCGACGCATACGCGGCGCTGATTGGCGGAGTGCCCAGGGCCCTGGACCGCTGGGCCACGGCGCTCTCCCAGCGGCTCTGACAGTTGCAAGCGCTATAACGTGTCCTTGTACTCACTCTTGTGCTCAGCCCAGTCTCCAGTCTCATCCCTCTCCATACACACCTTTGTCTGTCGCCTTGCCATCCATCGACTGGCGATGTAGATGGTGCTCATGTCTCGTGTTGTGGTGACAGTCACAGCTCTTGGTTGAACAACCACCCAGGCTACGCCATCCAACCGCATGCTGCCGCCAGGATGTTTGACAAGTCGCGCCCTGCGGTTGACAAGATCAGTCAAGGCGGCTTGGCGCGTTTGCTTGGCCGATCCGCCCAAGTTCCAACAATTACGGATATGACACATATACATGTACGTATATATATATCTATGTATGTATAGCAATATAGATGCAGCTTCCCACAAACCGTTTACAGCATCCATGGCCACCGACATGTCCGCCCACGACGGGCCCTTGACCATCCGCACCCACCGCCCGGGCGACATGTGCATGATCGCCCACCGCTTCAGCGCCGAGTTCTGCGCGGCCCCCTGGAACTACGACGAGCGCTTCGAGGCCCTCCTCGGCCGCTCCGTCGCCGGCTTTCTCGACAACTTCCACCCGGCGCGCGACAGGTGCTGGATCGCCGAGCGGGATGGCGTCTTCATGGGCTGCGTCGCCCTCGTCCAGGACCGCGACGACGACCGCGCCGCCAAGCTCCGTCTGCTCTTCACGGACGACAGGGCGCGCGGGACAGGCGTCGGTACGGCCCTTCTGACCGTTCTTGTTGCTTTTGCCAGAGAGGCGGGCTACGAGTCCGTCTCCCTCTGGACGCAGGCTGCCCTGCTTGGCGCGCGACGTCTCTACCAGCGGGCTGGCTTTGAAATTGTCGAGACGGAGGAGCATGATCTCTGGGGGCCCAGGATCGTGGGGGAGATATGGAGGTTGGCGCTGCAAGGGGCGGGCGCAAAGTAGTACTCGATTGACATTACACAGGGTCTATACTCCTGAACGAGAGGCAGGACCAGTTGTATCTTCTCCTCCACCTCCACGCGAGGCATGGGACGGACGCAAGGAGCGCTTTCGCCATAGTCGTACAAGTACGTACACACCCATCAGTCTAGATGTGACTTGTCGTCCTCGTACTCCCCGACAGCCCCAACACCCCGGCACGCCCTGATCAGGCTCAGCCCAGCCGCCGTGCTCGCCCCGTGCTCCATCTGGCGCGTGAAGAAGGCCTCGCCGCCCATGATGCGGACCGACTTTCTGCGCTCCTTCTCGGCGACGCTCAGCTGCGCGCCACCGCCGCCACGTCGCCTCTGCTCCTCCGCCTCTCCAGCCTCCATCTCGCGCAGATACCGGGCCCGCAGGGCGTAGCGCTCGTCCCTCTCGCGGCGAATGTGCGCGGACCCGACGCGCTGCAGGGCGTACCGCACCAGTGACCGGAAGCCCATAAAGACATGCTCGCTGATGAAGATGGTGATGGGCAGCGCCCACCAGGCGCCGGCCCCGATGCTGCTCGCCCCAAAGAGGTGCACAATGGCCCCCGTCGTCAGGCTGCCGGCCCAGGTCAGAAAGTCGAGCGAGCTGATCCAGGGGCCGATGCCGTCGCTCCGCACCGGCGCCGGTCGCTGGTGCTCCATGGCGATCTTGAGAAGGTCGGTGCGCAGCTCGACAATGTTGTTGACCAGGAAGCCGATGCTGATCAGCGGCCAGACGGGCGAGAAGAGCGCCAGGTAGCCAAACTGCAGCACAATCTCGGCAATGTCCTCCTGCACGTCGTACGGCGTCCGCGTCGCCTGGTCCCGCGCCGACCGCAGGAAGCGCGCCTCCTCCTGCGCAAAGGGCTCGACGTCGTCCGTCGTCGGCATCGTCGTCGTCGGCGCGCGGTACGTGCGGTACCACGCGTGTAGCTTGCGTTTCGCCACGGGCAGCACGTTCTCCTCAAAAAAGGACGACACCTGGCCCGTGAGCGCGAGCGCAATGACCTCGTCCCGCAGCCGCGTGGCGTCGACGACGCCCCCCACGGCGTGCGAGCTGCCCTCGCCTTCCGCGAGGAACCGTTGCCCCAGCTGACCCAGGAGACTCCTCGTGTGGGCGCTCAGCCAGGGCACAATCTCGTCGCCAAAGGGCACGTAGACAAAGGCCGTGATGAGGATGGGCAGGTAGTTCGTGATGATGCTGAGGACAAAGTTCTTCTGCGTCAGGGACATTTCGTAGTGGTCCGCGGTCCGGTGGTTCTCGTAGTCGGTAATGGCCTCGGCAACGCGCTCGAGCAGGCCGTTGATGCGCGGCAGGACGAGGGCGAGCATAATGGTCGGCACGTACTCGACGACGCCCGGGTAGCCGCCCGTGTAGCTCTCGGACAGGAGGATCTCGAGCGCGAAGACGGCCACGATGAGTGCGCCCAGGAGGGCCGCCGACAGCGCGATAAAGGGGATCTGCAGCAGGTGGCGCAGGACCTGCTTGTGACGGGGGAAGTGGTGCCGCGGCTCGCCTGCGCCGTCGACGACGATGCGCTCCCACCGGAACTGCGGCCGGTTCACCTTGACCGAGGCCACGTTGCGGACCCGCCAGCGGATGCTGAGGTCAACCTCGCGCACCTTCCAGTACTCGAGCGTCACCGTGCACCAGACGCAGGTGAGGATGGCGTAGGTCAGCGAGTAGCGGCCCCCGAGGTACCAGGTGAGGACGCCCGTGACGGCGGGAAAGGCAAGGCACACGAGGTACGTCTGGATAAAGGCAAAGTAAAAGGCCACCTTGGACCCGTGGAGGTCGCGGATGCGGTCCAGGTCCTCGTTGGTCAGGAACAGCCGGCGGCTGACGTGCTTGAGGAGGGCTTGGTTGGCCGCCTCGTTGTGCAGCGGGAAGATGGACGTGACGTTCTCCCACTGTCCGAGTCCGGGCGTGATGCCGGCGCCGCCGCGGTCCTTGGGCCAGTTCACCAGGTGGTAGACGGAGAGGAGGTCCTCGGCTTCAAAATCGCCGTCCACAACGGAGTCCTTGGTGCCGCCAGGGTGCGTCTGGACGATCCCGTACAGCCAGTCCTTGACCCTGGGGGAGGCTTAGCATGACGACAAAGGACTGGGGGAGAGAGAGAGGGTCAAGCGTACCTCGAGCGGTAGACGTATTTGCCGAGCAGCTCGCGTGGCGCCTTGACAAAGACGAGCAGGGTCTGCTCATAGCCAGCGCGCGCCTCCGTCAGGAGCCCAGCCGTCTCGAGGTCGTCGATCATGACGGTGACCTCGCGCTCGGCCGTCTCGGTGTCTGCACGCGGTCAGCGTGTGCTCGGACGGCTGGCTGGCTGGCAGGATGGCTGGCAGGCTGGCAGACAGGACGTACCAACGTTCTTGAAATCGTACACGATCACGTACTTGTCATTGTACCGTTCCATGTGGCCGCTTGCTGCCGGGACGGCCGGGAGGCACGCCCCTGTCGAGCCGGTGCCTACTCGCCAGATGGCCATGCCGGTCTTTAGTATGTATATGTATATGATGAGAATCTTAAGGAGCCATTGAGGTAAAGGAAAAAAAAAAAAAAAAAAACCTAGGTAGGCCTCCTGATTCCTGAATGGAGCCGCATGACGTCCAGCGGCTCCAGCCCTACGGAGCGCGTACGCGTAAGCTGCTCCACGCAGCACAGCCGCCAAGCGAGATTCGACGAGACGTCCATCATCGCCTATTTTATATATGTGGCATGCAGTGCATATTCATACGTACTGTTCTTATTCTGTACACGTACGTAGTTGTGTTCCTCGAGTCCCTTTGCAAACCGCACTGTCCCAGCCGCACGCCCAACTTCCTTCCCGTGTCACTCAGCCCTGGGACGTGTCCCTGTCGATCACGGGCGCAACGCATGTCAAGTCCAGCAGCGACTCGTCCACATGCAAGCAGTCGTAGACGGGCGGCTCGCCGCTCGGCACGATGATCGTCACATTCTCCACCCGGATGTTGCTGCATCGCTGCACGCTATCAGCACACCAACAAATCACATCAGATCGACTGCCAGGGACACAACTCACATCGTCCGCGCTGCACACGAGCGTGCCGGCACGGGGATCGTACGCATCTGACGTGGTGCCCCACATGTTCTTCATGGTGATGTCCTCGATGGTGAGGTTCGCCTAGCTCATCTGTCAGCATCATCCCTCCCTCGAAAGCGCAAAGGCCCGCGCACCGGAAACTCGTTGCACAGCGTCTGGTTCTTCTGCCCGTAGCACTGCGTAATGGTGATGGCGCGGTCATTGTTCTCATGATGGAACAGGTCGTACGTCACGTTGCGCACCCACCCGAGGCCGCCGCCGCCGTTGAGGTTGTCCTGAAAGTCCGTCTCGACGCCGGGCCAGACCTTGATGCGCGCGCCGTCGCTGGCGTCGCTCATTGAGATGTTGTAAATGTGCAGGTTCTCGACAATGTCCGTCAGCCCCTTGTACTGCCCCAGCGAGCCGATGCTGATGCCGTGCGAGCCGTGGCACACGAGGCCCTGCACGACCACGTTGGTGCTGTTGGGCTTGAACGAGACGCAGTCTGGCTGAGTGTCAGTGGACCGAACATGTCTCACCCAGGCCAGCATTTTCTCTCTCACCGTCCGTGTTGTTGATGACAGAGTCCTGGATGACCACGCGGTTGGAGCGGTAGGTGTCCCAGCCGTCCGAATTGGCAATCTTGACACCATCTGTGGCCTGTCCAGCGTGAGCATCGACTCTGCCCCCACCAGCACTCCAGGGCGACTCACCACAGCCTCCAGCTCCATGTTGCTGACGATGATATCGGTGCTGTTGGCGATAAGATTGAACCACTGCGCACGCAGTCAGCCATCATCTACCCCTAGACCTAGACGAACCACAAACTTACAAACGGCGGGTTGCGCATCCTCAAGTTGGACATGGAGCCGCCCTCGAGGCCCTCAAAGACGAACAGGAGTGGTCTGCGTAGCTGCACATGAAATTGTCAGAGAGAGGCATCCCTCCCATCACAGCACACCCACGCACCGTGGTGTTGGTCTGGATCTCCTCCCAGTACGCCTGCCCATGCCCGTCGATCAAGGACTGGTCATTGCCCAGGTCGCCGTAGATGTTGACGTCCTCGCCGCCAATCTGCCAAAAGGCACTCGTGTTCTGGTAGGGGTACTTGAAGCTGTGGTCCGCCCAGTAGTACACGTCCGTGTCGTCAAAGTGCACCTCGCCCGTGATGACCACGTCGACGTGCTTCAGGAAGGTGAGGTCCAGAGGCGACCCGATCCAGTACACCTGGTCGAGCACGACGGTGCCGCCGTCGTTGCACGCCTCAAAGGCCCTGAGGATACGCGGCGCGGCGTCGTCGCGCGGGTGGCAGCCGGCCCGGACGTGGCAGAAGCGGTCATCGTCACGGGGCGGCGAGACGGGCAGGGCCTGGCCGGCGTGGTAGGGGAATGGCTCGAGGACGGGCCGCTCGGGAAGGCCTTTGGGGCGACCGGCGTGGGACAGGGGAGAGAGCAGAGCCAGGACGGCGGCGGCAGCTATCGACTGGACACGCATGATGAGTGTGCGTTGCGATCAATGGATGCCGCGGCTGATTCTGAGGCTCGGTTTGCTGCCAACTGGGTCTTATGTGAGCCGAGTCTGCCATCCAGTGCGCACGTAGGCCTGTCACCCCATCCAACTGGCCCGCGCCATACGTGGAAGAATATTATCACGTCTCGTCCTTCAGGCCATGGTGAATCGGCATCAAAGTGCCGTGGCCCATGTCAGTGGGCACGAAGAAGATGCGAAGCGCGCGGAGAACCAGACATGCCCCGGATTCGCAATGTAACCCCCGATGCATGAGGGGGGATCCCCAACTTGAAGCGACGATTCAGCCGCCCAATCAGGCCCCAAAGGTACGCATGATCGGTGTGGAGAAGTCCGCGTATCGAAGAGGCTCTGGCAGATTCGTGGAAAGTTTGTAATAAATCTTGTTTGTGGTTGTATGTACACGTATGCCCCGGCTGATGCTTTGCAAAAATCCAATGTCGAATCCATCCTGAACGCCTTTTTGAAATGCAATGTCGCCATGGAGTGCAATGTCCCTTCTAGTGCCCCAGGAGGTTGAACAGGCTCGTCCTGGGGTCGAGGTGCGCGTTGCCCTCAAAGGTTTTGCGACGCTGCGTCTCGCTCTGAGAGCTGTTGTACTGCGCGAAGCGACTGTCCATGACGTTCCGCGACCGGCTCAGCTGGGAGCCGACATAGTAGGCGACGATGGAAACTGTCCTCTGTTGTTAGTGCATTGTATGCATGTCTCTGGGGCAGGGATGACTCACCAGAGCCGGCGACGACGAGGAAGGGAACGACTCTGGCCGCGGCGCCAGATGGACGGACGGGTGTTGCGGTTGTTGTTGCTGCCATTGTGTTTGTGGCTGGTTGTGACTTGGGTACTTGGTGTACTTGAATCGTAGTGTGTGTGTGTGTGTGTGTGTGTGTGTTTGTGACTGTGATGCCTGTTATGATGCTTGTGTTTGTCATCACCAGCACACCGTCACACAAACTTATATACTCGCATGCCGTGAGGTCGTAATCCTACCTCATCCGAGGCCATCATGATCACATCCTGCCCTGTCCGACGCGTGGCGTGATTTTCGTATGGCCATGATGCTGGGTTGGGCGTGAGTGGCGTGATGTGACAAGGCGATGGAATGGCGGGCAGTCGAAAAACGAGGCCCCGAAACGGTAGCAGGATCATGCGCCCGCGGGATCGCACGGAAGCAAGCCAGGGGACGGTCAATTCAATGGACGGCCTGCATTCCAGACGGCGCAGAATTGTTCGTACGTGGCGCACGGGGTGACGGGACTCGCCGCATGTCGTAGAGGGGGGGAGGCTTCGGCCGGGGCCGAATGACGGGTGGCTGTCACGTGCTTGGCTCGATGCATCGGGTCAACGGCCTTTGGATTCATCAGCCTCAGCCCAGCCACAAATCAGGAACGCATCACCACCACCGACCCACTATTAAGCGCTGGGCAAGCAGCCTAATTAGCGGGTCTCATACATAGGTCTGATGCGGCGCCCATTGAAGAGGAGCTTCTTCCCGGGTATCCGTATAAGTCAGAGAACTACTACCTATCCTATCATGACAGAAAAGACCTTGCATTCTCGGTACCGTACTGTCTGCAAACTTGGTCGTTGGGTTGGGTCGACGGTCTGGCTGGCCCAAGATGTCAAGTACGACAGCCCCGCGTCCCGTTTCTGTTTGGGTACCCAGAACGTCCCAATATCGAGCTACAAAAGTACGTACTCGGACTACAGAGGGAGCGGTTCCCACATGCTCCAGCCGAAAGATCGCTGTTGCCGAGTACCTCTAGACAAGTCCTGTCCAAGAACACCCAGGCAGACGTCCTGTCCGCATAGCTCTAGACTCCTTGACTCTCGACGGTCCTCATGGGACGCATACAAGTCGTATCTATACACCGCAGGGCATGACTCTGACGGAACCTCGCAAATACCTAATGGACAACAGACTACCGAAGCAGATTGCTGCAGACGACCGTCCAACTTCGTCTGTCGCGATGGATTATCTTCACAAAAACAACGTTGTTCATACCGGTGAATCCATAATCACTGGCTCTGGTGATTGTCACGTTTCAGTTGTTTCTTGCTCGCTCGAGTAGACATTTCTCCAAAGAATATGCTTGTTGGCGCAACCGATGACACGCCATTCTCGCAACTCGAGAAGGACGATGAGACGCGCCCTGTCGCAAGGAAGGTTCCCTCTGATAGAGCCATTCACATGTCGCGCCCCGTACCTCCAACTAAAGGGCAGCTGATACTGTCGCTGATAGGCAACCCGCCGCCCGAGCTTGTGCCACGCAGTACAATCTGTGCCAGATTCTTCGACGAAGAGGGTGATGTTTGCCCGATCGCACCATCATCTGCATGCAGGAACTAACACACCGTGATAGGGCAATTGGTAAGGCTCCGTTCCTATCCCGAGCCAGTCCTTCGAAGATCGCATCACCCAGGTGCAAGGGGAGGACAAGGAGCTGCTGCTTGTATTTGAGCACAGCCTGCTTTGGTGGCGACCCGAGAAGAGGCCGACAGCCAAAGAGATGGTGTATGATGATTTCCTCATGCAAGCATACTTTGCCGCTCAGTCCAGAGGTTAATACTTGTACTTGTAGTTTGCGAGAAGATGGGCGTAAAGATGGAAGAAGAGCGTTTTAAACTCTCGGGTATTTACGGCTAGTGCCTGACTTATGGCTAAAACGTCATTAGTCAGAATATCAGTCGGACCATCTTAAAGTGGGACACTGCCGATTTAGTCATGATGTACTGAACTGTCATCGAGCGACGGAGAACGAACTCGTACTTCCACGCCCCAGAACTTCATCAATACATCCTCTGCAAGACCACGCTTCCGATGAACGCCAGCCGCAGTCCGACGAGTCTTTCCCTGCTTCCCGCCTGATCGCACGAGATGAACACACCTCGTTTCCTCGCCCGCGTGGCCGCGCGCGCACCCTGTTGCCGCCGTCCACTCTTCGCCACACCCATCTCGTCCTTCCACAGCTACCCGCTCCCCGCGCAAACGACCACGCCGCCTCGCAACGACGACGTGCCCGAGACGTCAATCTCATCGCCCTCCCAGCAGCAGCCGCCGCCGTCGCAGAAGTCGCCACCTCTCCCCAAAGTCCACGAGACTCGCCCCCTCAAGCAGCAGCCGCCTGCGCCCACCGCACAGCAAACACCGGCTGCCGCACCCACGAACAAGACAGAGACCAAGACAGAGACCGAGACGGAGGCGCAGAAGCCCAAGCCCAGGAAGCGACCCACGCTGCGCCCGCGCAAGGCCGCCATGACGCTGACGCCCTCGGCCGTGGAGCACCTGCGCGAGCTGCTCGACCAGCCGGAGCCCAAGCTGATCAAGGTTGGCGTGCGCAACCGGGGCTGCAGCGGGCTCGCGTACCACCTGGAGTACGTGGACAAGCCGGGCGCCTTTGACGAGGCCGTCGAGCAGGGCGGCGTCAAGGTGCTGATCGACAGCAAGGCCCTATTTAGCATCATCGGCAGCGAGATGGACTGGGCCGAGGACAAGCTGAACCAGCGCTTTGTGTTCCGAAACCCGAATATAAGTACGTGTCAAGACAGCTCCCCGGGAACTAAGTCGTTGCTAACCGTGCGCAGAGGAGGAATGCGGGTGCGGCGAGTCTTTCATGGTGTAGACGGGTGCTGGACTGGCATCCACATCAGCATGGAGAGCAAGCGAGCATCGACCATGACCACATTGAACCATGACCACATTGATTGCATTGTTCGGCGTTAGGCTGGGAGCGGCACAGATCCGCGCATGGGTATATCACGATTCGTCCACTGATTGTATTACTCGTTATATATTCGATGATAATATAGACTTGGTGCACCACTTCTGAGCCTGATGTGTACATGCGGGCAGGCAGTCAGAGCCTAACTGTGTTGTGTCAAGCAAAATGTGCACAGACCGGACTGCTGGTAATTGCGGCGGGCAATTATACGGACCTGGGCCATGTCTGTTGCGATCAAAGTGACCAATAGCGTCACATGACACCGCGTGTAGTGTTGCGTGCAATGTCGCGAAGCTACGCATCCTGAGCCAGCTTCGTGAATCGAGCTTTTAATTTACGCTTATAATCTCAAATGAGCGCCCTGGCCGCTCGCAGGCTGTCTACTTTCGCACGCCAGAGGATTCACTAGATCCCAGAATGGCGACGGTCAGCCCGACAATGGCGTCAAGCCCAGAGCTCAACGTATACAAGGCGCCCTCATCACAGAAACGCACGCGCAATGCACACGTCGACATGACAGAGACCATTCACAAGATCGCATCCTCACCACGCGGCACACCCTTTGAGAAGCGCGTCTGGACAGCACTATGCCACATCCCCGACGGGTCGTTCACGACGTACGCGCTCCTGTCCAAGCATCTGGCCACATCACCCCGCGCAGTGGGCAATGCGCTGCGGCGGAATCCGTACGCCCCAGAAGTCCCGTGCCATCGGGTCGTCGCGACGGGCGGGAACTTGGGGGGCTTCAAGGGCAAGTGGCCGCGCAACGGGGAGGGCATCACAATGGATGAGAAGAGGGCGCTGTTGCGAGGCGAGGGCGTCAAGATTGATGGGAGCGGCAAAGTGCTCGGCACGCCATGGGTGTTTGGGAGGTGAACACATAGTAATTATGCATTTTGGGAGCTGAATACCTGGTACCTAGTAATTATGCATTTACATATTTTGATGCATCACGCAAGACGCGCATCCAAAGCCACCGGCTGTCATGTCGGCACAGAGTTGATCCGCGCCGGACAGCCACGGACCGGCGAATCCCGGGAGCCGAGCTCGACGGCCGAGCAACGCTTCCTGATTCGATCGTCTCGTGGAGCTGACACTGATACTGCCGTGCTGGACAGCTTCACTGTCTGTCTGCAGTAACCATCGTCATTTGCGCGCCTCGCCCCCCCCCTTCCTCCATCTCTTTCATCCTCTCCGCTCTCTTTTTCAGTCCCCAGGGACCTCCAGACAGCCCACCATGTTCAGATTCGCCTCGAGCCGCACCCTGGCGTCGGCGTTGAACGCCTCCAAGGTATGGGGAGCGCGCGACCCGCCCTAGGGGCATGGAACGAAAAATGCGAATACTGACGAACAAACTCAATTAGATTGCGCCCTCTGCCCGATTTGGCGCTGCCCAGCAGAAGCGTAACCTTTCCATCCACGAGTACCTCTCCGCCGACCTCCTGAGACAGGTAAATTATAGCCCAGAAAAATACATCTACGCGCATCGACGGCAGGACGAGACGACTGATCAAGAACACTTAGTATGGCGTGGGCGTCCCCAATGGCTCCGTGGCCAAGAACGCCGCCGAGGCCAAGCAGGTCGCGCAGAGCATCGGCAATGACGACATGGTCATCAAGGCCCAGGTCCTCGCCGGTGGGCGCGGAAAGGGCACGTTCGACAACGGCCTCAAGGGCGGTGTCCGTGTCATCTACTCGCCGCACGAGGCCGAGATGTTCGCGGAGCAGATGATTGGGCACAAGCTCGTCACCAAGCAGACGGGAGCCGCCGGCCGCCTCTGCAACAGCGTCTACATTTGCGAGCGCAAGTTTGCCCGTCGCGAGTTCTACCTGGCCATCCTCATGGACCGCCAGTCGCAGACGCCCGTCATCGTGTCGTCGTCGCAGGGCGGCATGGACATTGAGACGGTGGCCAAGGAGACCCCCGACGCCATCAACACGACGTACATTGACATCAACGTCGGCGTCACGGACGACATGGCGCGCGACATTGCCACCAAGCTCGGCTTCAGCGAGCAGTGCATCGAGGACGCCAAGGACACGATCCAGCGCCTGTACAAGGTCTTCCGCGAGAAGGACTCGACCCAGATCGAGATCAACCCGCTGTCCGAGACGTCGGACCACCAGGTGCTCTGCATGGACGCCAAGTTTGGCTTTGACGACAATGCCGACTTTCGCCAAAAGGAAGTCTTTGAGTGGCGCGACGAGACCCAGGAGGACGCCGACGAGGTGCGCGCCGCCAAGTCCGGGCTCAACTTTATCAAGCTCGACGGCGACATTGGCTGCCTCGTCAACGGCGCCGGCCTCGCCATGGCCACCATGGACATTATCAAGCTCAACGGCGGCCAGCCCGCCAACTTCCTCGACGTCGGCGGCGGCGCCACGCCCGCCGCCATCCAGGAGGCCTTTGAGCTCATCACCAGCGACCCCAAGGTCTCGGCCATCTTTGTCAATATCTTTGGCGGCATCGTCCGCTGCGACCACATTGCCCAGGGCCTCATCAACACGGTCGAGAACCTGAACCTCAAGATCCCCATCATCGCCCGCCTCCAGGGCACCAACGTCGAGGCCGCCCGCGAGCTCATTGACAAGTCGGGCATGAAGATCTTCTCCATCGACGACCTCCAGAACGCGTCCGAGAAGGCCGTGCAGCTGTCCAAGATGGTCAAGCTGGGTACGTCTCCCCTTTCTTCCTGGTATTGATCATGCTAACGCCGCGCAGCCCGCGACATTGACGTCGGCGTGGAGTTCTCCTTGGGTATTTGAGCAAAGCACATATAGACTGGCTGGCCGGGACGCGTTCCGTGTAATATATTCTCCCTGCGGCGGGCACGAGCAGGGCGCTCCGCCTGCTGAACTGGTGGATGGATAGATGGATCAAGGGAATCCGGGGGTACCGTTAGTGTTGTTTGAGCATCGAATCGACATGATATGCATACGAGCTGCGTAGTCTGTCTGCTGTACGTATTTGCTTTGACGTGAGCTACGTAATGCTACGTACGATGTCCGATGAGCCGCAATTCCCGCTCGGACATGTCTGAGGTCAACGTCCCACAAATCTCGGAAGACTGTCGCCGCATCGCTGTCAAAATTGTCATTTGTATTGAAGCGCAATGATGCTGCCGCTGGACACCACCCGAAGCGGTAAACCGACGGGTCTAATGTCTTCCTCCGAGCCAATGGCCGAACACCGACACAGCGCCGGGACAGCAGGCTAAAGATCCGCAGTCTCTTTCAAGATTTTCCACCTTGAGTACGTACCGAGGGCTTCATGAGTTCATGAGGCGCTGTACTACGTAGGGCTTTCCACTCCCGTTACGACAGAGGACGCTGCTGCCATTCACGCACGATGGCTCGTGGGAGAAAACACGTGAGGTGCCAGACTGCAAGTTCTGTGTAATTACCTGGTAGCTAGTCTAATTCGGTACCTTCAGCTCCGCTATACCCGACGTACCGCGTAAATCGAGTCTGCCCGACGCAGACGAGCCACGGCAGTGACCTGGGTAGCCTTATCCTCCCAATTCCGCAATACCCATCCGTGTCAATGTCAAGTCAGGCAGGACCCCTGCATTGACAGAAACTATAAGTAGCCAGGCTGACCTCCTTGGTCTCCTCTCGCATTGACTCGTTCTGCATTCCTCTGTATCCTCGTCGTGCCAGCTACACACACTCAAACCACCCATACCATCATACACCAACCACACCTCCACAGTACAACGAGATGCCCTCTCAACGCCAAAGCTGGTTCGCGCGCCACTGCACACCTGCTCCTCCCCAGACATCGACGCCGACCTGCCCCTGTGCAAACTGCTACTCTACCTTCACCAACGCTTCGCCGGTATCTCCTCCTCCTCCTCCTCCTCCCCGAGTCAACAGGACACAGTATAGCCTCGGGGAGGCCACCGGCTCGACGAGACATCTCCTCGATGCAGACAACGCTTCACTGCAGAGCTTCACTACCACTACCCACGTCGAAAACGCGCAGTAATCCTCGGGCAAGGACAGTCAAACATGCACGACAGGGACAGGTCTTGTGATCGACAACCTTGATAAGAAGCTTGTTGCCAATGCAACATTACCCCAGGGTCATTGCAGGAGCGCCCATGTTGAAAGAGGAAGGTGGTACGCGCCGCAGAGACACGCCCAGACCGCGGCTTATTGGTGCAGCGCATTCACCCGCGGGATGGAGGCTTGGGTTTGGTGAGGGGGAGCGCAGAAGAGACGGGATGCTGAGTCGGGGACGAACTTAGCCGAGGGCTGGGCATGCCCGTCAGCTGAGACTGGCGCTTGGCCAGGGGCTGGAATTACAGACACACCTACGGGTAAAGGGAAAGTGGTCAGGGGCAAAGGAAAGTCTGGTTCCTTTCAAGCATCATGTTGCTGGCAGCACTTTTCCGTGATTGCTGCTCGGCATGGCAAATGGACAAGTGGGGCCGAGTCCGGGTCCGGTCTGCGCGGAAACTATGGGGCCGCATCACCCGGACGCTCTGCGCTCAAGCCGGCTCATTAGACCACCGTAGGTAGTCAGTTGGGCGTTGTGTGTTTGCAGCAGCGAGAATGATACCACATTGATTCGTATTCCTAAAGTTAAAAACCAAGAATAGCAAACGTCAATCTTCATGAACCATGCTCAAGAGTGCATGCCCACACATTTGATACCTGGCCCACCTCATCATACCGTAAGAGCGAGCAACCGATTGACGTCACTCACAAGACGATGGGTGAACATGAACCTCCACGTCCCAGCATCGTCTCGAGGCAGTGCGCTTCCCTCTTCAACCCTCATACATGCACCGCTTCATTTCCACCCAGTCCAGACGCAAAATGCCATCCACGGTCGACGCAGCCATCCTCAGCGCGCTCTCGTTGCCACCCGAGTCCACAAAGATCTCGTCACACGGTGCTTCGGGCTTTGCGTCCTCCTTCAAGATCACTTCGACACACAATGACCAGCCCATCAGCTACTTTGTCAAGACAGGCAGCGGCCCCTCGTCAGAGACCATGTTCAAGGGGGAATATGCATCCCTCAACGCCATCCACGACGCCGTCCCCAACCTCTGCCCAAAAGCCCACGCACATGGGGCCATGGCCAATGGGGGAAAGTACTTTCTCGCGACAGATTTCCTAGATCTAGGATCGACCGCCAGTGGCGGATCAGGTGAATCCCTGGCGAGCAAGATCGCCAAGATGCACACGACGACCGCGCCGATCCCGCAAGGCCACGACAAGCCCATGTTTGGATTCCCCGTGACGACGTGCTGTGGCGAGACACCCCAGGACAACTCGTGGGAGGAGAGCTGGGTGGACTTTTATGCCGAGAATCGGTTGAGGAGCATATGCCGCGCGGGCGTGGAGAATCAAGGCCCGGACAAGCAACTAGAGGACGCCGTCGAGCAGACAGCCAGCAAGGTCACGCCCAGATTGCTGGGCCAGGTCCAAGACATCAAGCCTGTCGTCATCCACGGCGATCTCTGGAGCGGCAACCACGGAAGAGGTCAGATTGGTGGCGTCGGCGGGGCAGAAGAGGTCGTCTACGATCCCTCCTCTGTGTACGGCCACTCCGAGTACGAGCTGGGCATCATGAAGATGTTTGGCGGAATCGGGGCCAGTTTCTTCAAGGAGTATGAGAAGCTGGTGCCCAAGGCGGAGCCAAGGGACGAGTGGGACGACCGCATCATGCTGTACGAACTGTAAGTCGTCCCAGCCCGCGCATGCCACGCCACGCACGCGCACCCACGACAGATAGAGACTGACCTACTGCGTGCAGATATCACCACCTCAACCACTATGCCATATTTGGGGGCGCGTACCGCGGTGGCGCCATGTCCATCATGCAGAAGCTCATTCGGAAGTATGGTAAATAGATCGGACGCCCGTGTATACAAATCCATGGTGCTATTGTATCTCAATCCAAAGACAAATCTCCACAAGGGGTATCTCACGCCGCCAAGGGCTGCTCCTGTTTCTGTGCTTGCGCCTGGGCCTTGCGTTCGCGCTCGCGTTCGCGCTCGGGCTCGGGCTCGGGCTCGGGGAGATTGGCGTCGGGGACGCTCGGCAGCTCGTCGACCGTCTTGTCACCACCGGCCATCTCCCTCTCGAGCGCCTCCAGCTCGTCGTCGACCTCCTCGTCGTCCTGAGCCGTGAGCTTGCCGCCGAGCATGTCGCTAATCTCCTGCTGGTAGGCAATGGCGTCGGCCGTCTCGCCCATGAGCTTCTCGACCTGCTCGATGCCGCCCATCTCGGCGTGGATCTGGGTCAGGACCCTTGTGCCCTGCTGCAGGCCAAAGACGACGTCCTTTTGGATCTGGGCAAACTCGACCTTGGACGTCAGCTGCTCGAGCTGGGCGAGCTGGGCGTCCGTCTGCGACAGCAGCGTCTCCTGGTACTTTTTGCGCCGCAGGGCGAGGAGGGCGCGGCGCTTGTCGCCCTTGGCGAGCATCTGGCGGGCGACATCGGTCTCCTTGTCGGTGAGCACGGTGATCTGGCGCTGGTAGCGGTGCAGGCGGTCGCGCTGGAGCTTGAGGTCGAGGATGGCCCTGGATGTGCGGCGCGGGTTAGTCAAGGTGGACTATTGGGTGCTTGGAGGGCACGTGAGGGGATGGAGCTGACTTGTCCTGCTCAGTGACCTGGCCTCTGGGTTTACTGCTGCTGTTCCCCATGGTGCGTGGGTGCGACGCGCCGCCTCGATGAATGGGGGTGTGCGTCTCGTGGGAAGCGTGGTGTGGTGTGGATGTTGGAGGAAGTGGTGGTGGTCTAATTGCGAGCATGTACGGACGGATACCTAATTACCTGCAGCTATCAGTCGGTGCTCGGGCGATGACGAACGACACCTTGGCTTTGGTGTGCCGAAAGACCGGACTCTTTGGGACTGCGGTGATCGCCACGCCCGCCTTTAGAGCACCGCTGCACACATGATGGCAAAAACCATTACTGTCACTGGGATATTTCACATTGTTATTCGCCTTTGCCAATGAAATTAATGATGACGCGTGGCTCAATTGCTCAGTCCATCAACTCAAATCGATTTCCAATACTTGTCCAGCACGTCCTTATCGATAAGCTGTGACGCTCAATGTAAGGTACTTACTTGTACGTGGGGAAGATGGGCCCACTGAAACATTTTGGCACCAAGTGATTCAAGTCGAACCTCTACGGCAGCGTCTACTAATTCACATTCCTTCAAGAACTACTGACCTACCTCCCGTTGTCGGCGCGATGCCTCGCCTCAACCTACGCCAAGGTCTCGATCGCGATGTATACGCCGTCATCGCCAAGCTGGAAGAGACCAACGGCGGACCCTTCAAGTCGGCCTGGAAAGCCTACGATGCGATCAAACACTCCAACTCCCATCTGAGCCGCTCAAAGAGACGGCCATTGGAGGATTCGATAGAGCGCGTTCTCGAGTTTCGTAAGGACGAGCTCGACGACGACGACGATGACTCGGACGCCGCCATCGAGGAGGCGGAAGAACGCATGCTGCCCATGAAGACAGAGGATGAGCGCTTCTTGCTCAATCGCCAGATGACAAAGCATTGGAATACGATCCGCAACACGCCAAAGACGACCGACGGGCAGCCCGACACGAAGAAGAGGAAGTTGCACGAGGACGGTGCCGAGCGCAGTGGCACCGAGAGCGTGGCGGCCACAACGCCAAAGACAAATGGTAACAAGGACGGGGAGGAGTCTGCCCAGAAGCCGAAGAAGGCGTCGAGGCCAAGTCGGTTCGATGTGGAGCAGCCTCAAGCGATCATCGGCCTAGGCGGCATGGCTGATGTTGAGAAAGAGCTGACGGACCATCTGCTGTACTCGCTCAAGCCACTCGAGTCGTGGACGCAACCAACATGGGAGCCCTCGGACGGTGTTCTCCTGACGGGGCCAGTAGGCGTGGGGAAGCGAACGCTGATCAGAAAGGTGGCGGCGGACCACTCGCTACCGATTGTCTCCATCGCCCACTGTCTCAACGAGACGGACCGTCTCGACAAGTCGCTCACCGAGGCTTTCGATGAAGCCATGCGTCTCGCGCCGAGCATTGTCCTGCTGGAGGACGTCCACTTCTATCTGGTCAAGCCCGGCAGCTCTGCGCACAATGAGCAGCACCACCGAATCGTCATGGCCCTGGAGAAGCAGAGGAAGCGCATGGCGCAAGAATCACAACCGGGCTCCTGGGTCTGCATCATCGGCACATGCCCCACCACTGAAGACATTGCGCCGGCTGCCTTTCCACACGGCGTCTTCTCCGACGAAATTAAGGTGAAGATACCCGACCTGGCGGCGCGGGAGGATATTTTCAGAGTGCGCCTTGAGAACAGGAATTTGCACGATGATGTGGACCTGCACGAGCTGGCGCGGACGACACACGGCCATGTTGGCGACGATATACGACGCGTGATTGTGCGTGCATTGCGTCTCGCCAGTGCAAGGCAGCGTGGTTCCCAACAATCCCTGGCCGATCTACAGGAGGAAAAAGACGACGACGACGACGACATGGCCGACGGTGACCAGCCGTCGGATCTTTGCGCAACAATGGAAGACTTCAGACAAGTCATCAAAACATTTGTGCCCTCCCTACGCAAGGAAGGGTTCACGGTGATCCCCAGCGTGAGTTGGGACCAAGTCGGTGCCATGAAGGCGGCGCGGAAACAACTACAAATCTCCATCATCGGCCCCATCAAGAACCCCGACCTCTACGAGACCTGGGGCCTCAACAGACCAGGCGGTGTCATCCTCTGGGGTCCACCGGGATGCGGAAAGACGCTGGTCGCCCAGGCCGTCGCCAACGAGGCGCAGGCGAGCTTCATCCTCATCAACGGGCCAGAGCTGCTCAACAAGTACGTGGGCGAGTCGGAGAGAGCGGTCAGAGAGCTGTTTCAGCGCGCCCGGTCGTCCAAGCCCTGCATCCTCTTCTTTGACGAGATGGACTCGCTGGTGCCCCGACGCAGCGGCGGCTCGTCCGACGCGGGCGTCCGCGTCGTGAACGCGCTGCTCACGGAGCTGGACGGCGTACAGGACCGCTCGGGCGTCTATGTCATCGGCACGACGAACCGTCCCGACATGATCGACCCGGCCATGCTCCGTCCCGGCCGGCTCAGCGTGCGCATCATGGTGGACCTGCCCACGGAGGACGAGAGGGTCGACATCCTCCACACCATCTACCGGAACCGACACAGCGCCCAGGCGGAGGACCACCGATCCCGCATCGAAAAGGTCGCCCGTGACCGTCGCTGCAAGAACTTTAGCGGCGCCGACCTGATGGGCCTGCACCAAAAGGCGGCCGAGCACGGTCTGATGCGGACCACCGTCGAGCAGGGACGGTACCCCGAGGCGCAGCAGGCCTCCAAGATCAAGGCAGAAGTCACAGAGGAGGACTGGGAATACGCCTTGAAGAATTCCAAGCCCAGCGTCACGGACCACGAGTCCTACCGAAAGCTGGCGCGGGAGCTGGGGAGAGATGCGTAATAGTTGCGATCCAGAAGTTGATACCCATTTCTTCCATTGATGAATCATGAAATCACCAGTGGATGCACGTTGGATTCACGATTGTGACGAGTCGATCTTATTCTGCGCACGGAGAGCGAGGAGTGAACCAAGGCTGCCCCCGTTCGGAGTCAGACAACCGACACGGCAGCTGGAGCGGGTCTCGTTGCCATGTTTCTGAAGATCAACTAGTCACACATGTTTTAGATCGGGTAGCACAGTAGTTTGGAATCGTATCGAATTTTCCAAATGCGCCGAATCCTCATCCAGGATCGACGGCGCTCTCATAATGTAGAAGAAGAGTTGTGGAAAACAAAAAAGGGGGAACACGATGCACGGCGCTGATGCTCCCTCAGGGAGAGAGAAAAAAGTCTATATAGTACACATTCCGCCATGCCCACATTCTATCATTGCGATATCATTACACGCGACCACGAATTCGTCGCTTAAGCAGTGGACTCCTTGAGGAAGCTGGTGCCAGGTTAGTTACGCTTCGCACATGAGAACGGCAGACCGGGGAGACGTACGCAATCAGATCCTTCCTGTCCTTCTCCTTCTTGAGACCGCCAAAGGCCATCTTGGTGCCAGGAATGTACTTCTTGGGGTTCTCGAGATAGGCGAAGAGGGTGTCGTCGTTCCACTCGATGCCCTTCTGCTTGTTGGCATCGGTGTAGGAGTAGCCCTCGACGGAGCCGGTCTTGCGGCCCCAGAGGCCGTGCAGGGCAGGGCCGATCTTGTTGCCGCCGTCCTTCTCGACGGTGTGGCACTGCGCACAGCGGGTCTTGAAAAGGCTGGCACCCTTCTTAGTGTCGCCTGCGAATCAAAGTCAGTCATGCTTGTTCGCGAAAGTGGTGCTCGCCGAAAGTGGTGCTCGCGTTTTGGAGTGTCGAGGTTGACTTTGAGAGGCGCCAGGCGGCGGAAGGATGGTGACAAGGCTTGGCTCGCAGGGGCAAAATAGCGCAAGCGTCACTGCGCGCTGCGCAGCTGGCCCTGCTTCTCGCAAAACACCATCTCGACTTATCGAATAGTGCGTCTTTCGAGAGCCTCCCGTGACCAGCCTCGCCGACACTTGGCGCCGTCTCAATGGCACCCGGACACCTTGTTCGCGTGAATCTCGGCAGCCGTCGGGTAACTCACCACCAGCCATTTTGTAGGATATTAAGAGGAAAGTGAAAAAGGTCTATAGTATTCTCGAAGAGAAAGGTCGTGAATCCAAACGCTGGATTTCTTGAAAAGTCGTGAGTCGTGGAGTTGTTGGGTGGATGGGGAGGAAAGAGAAGAGAGAATGGGAAACCAAAGGCAAAGGGGAAAACTTTATCATGACAGCATCGAACAAGAAAATCGACAGGGATACGCGAACGGAGCCACCTGTGGCTGGAGGCTTGCTACACCAATCAAGGGCCCCGAATTACGCAGTTGCGGGAGGCTTGGTCCGGTCCGGGAGAAGTCGGATTCCGCTCCTAGAGAAACGGGGAAAGTTCGGGCATTCTCACGGGATTATGTAATGTCCATGCAAGAAGCATCTCGTGATGGGCTAGATTTTCAAACATCATTGCCAACAACCACGCAAACGACTCATCACCACTCGCCACCGACGCGCGAAGATGGCGTCCCGGGCGGTCATCCCGCGGTTTCTGCTCCCACTGCAGGGCCCGCTATGGCGTGGCCTGCGTATCCCACTCTCACAGAGTCTCATCATCCGATTCGCAACGACAGACGCCAAGGGCAAGGACAAGGACAAGCAGATTGTGCTGGAGAAGCCCCTCAAGTTCAACCCGCCCTCTCATGGGTCGAGGCTGAAGAAGAACACATTGCCAAAGTACTATGGCGCTCAATTGACGGACGCCGAGCTGGCCGCGCAGAGGGTCAAGAGCTACCCGGGGATGATGGCGCCTGAAGGCACCTGGGCGCATTGGTTCTGGCACAGCAAGACGCTCCATCTGTGCATCACCATGGTGAGCTTGGCGGCACTGATCTATCACATCGACGAGTCTGACCACATACAGGGCACCCTCCTATCCATGTGCATCTTCACATTCTTCATGGACTACGTCATGAACTCGCCGTTCAAAGACCTTCTCCCGCCCATTTCCGACCTCTTCAAGCACCCCATCAACTTCTTCTACGGATGGTGGGACGTCATTGTCATGCACGAGCGCGACAAGTCGATCAAAGCCCGCGAATCGCGCGACCAGCACCAGGCCGATGTCCACAAGCGACGCTATTTTATGAAGATGCACGGCATCGAGCCAAAGAACCCCATCACCATGGTTTTTGGCAAGGATGAGAAGGAGATGAGCGAGGAGGAGCTGGAGGCCAAGGCACTCGGCAAGGAGTTGCCCGAGACGCCACAGACGGAGGGGGAGACGCCGGCTGGGCGCAAGAAGCTGCTCGGCCTCTTTTAGATGTGTCTGGTATTGTACATCCACCTGTGCTATCATAGTTATTTGTACCATGTTCGTCGTGGTGCTCATGAATCCTTGTCACACTACGCCAACTCGACGCCCTTCAGACCATCCAACACTTCGTCGGCGACCCCACCCTTCTCGAGGACCGCCTGTATTATCCCGTCCAGTATGGCGAACTTTGTGCCGCCCACGGGTGCCTTCCACACCCCCTCGACAGACTCGCCCTCCTTTCCTGCCGGCGCGGCCCCGGTGCCCGAGCTGGTGCCGTTGGGTACGCCGGGTGGCGTCAGTCTTGACGGCGGATCCACCATCCTGACAGACACGAGTTTCAATTTGCGCCCCTGGTCCTGTGATACCTTCTCTGATGCTGCCGCAGCCACCGACACTGCGAGGGCCGACTCGGCCACGGCGAGCTCCTCCTTTGAAGGGTCGAAAATGACATTGTCCCCGATCGCGACCACTAAGAGTGTGATGGGTGGTCGTGCGCTTTCGTTCTGCGAGTAGAGGAACTGGGATGCCTGCCAGTCGTCGTCGAACATGGGGTCCTCGTCGCCTTCGGATTTTAACCGTGGCAGGCGCGTAGCGAGCAGGGCGAGATGTGTAGTTAACGAGAGGAGCGGGAGGGGATATGACAGAGGGGGCGATATGAGAAGAATCTGATCACATGTTTTGTCAGTATGCATATCCAGCTTGGATCGAGGGATGGTGGGTTGGCTTACATCAAGGTATAGACGCCAGTGAAACCGTCGGTTGATCCAGAGTTTTCGGGCAAAGTCTCCATCCCCAAGGAGTGCCTCCCGTAGCATCTCGCCCAAAAAGACGGTACTAGCATCGTCGTCCCTTAAACCGGGGATCTCGACCGCAATCTCGACCCAATCGCCCCGGACTTGGCGTTGCGCGGCACCATCATCTTGGTCTTCTTGCTCATTGTCGGCACGCGTGCGCTCAATCTCTGCCTTCACCCCAACAATCGCCTCCGTGCCGTCGGAGAAACAGACACGCGCACTACCATTCGTGCCAGGCAGCACACCGGTCTCGGCTGTGAGCGGTCGGAACTGTGTTGATGTGCGCCCGTCGCTTCGGATGGGTGGACGCAGAGATAGTGAAGAATGAATGTAGGCGAGCTCAGCAGGGGACAAGAGAACTTGTGATGTTGCCATGACGGCGTCTTGTCGAGGAGCAGTGGCTGCCTCTCGTTCTCGGGGCTGCTTTCGGTTTGTTGGTGGTTTGGGCCAAGAATATTAAAGTGTCGTGGTCCAGTCTGAATCAAGAAATTTTGGAGCGCAAGCTTGGAGGTGAGTCGGTCGCATCGAGAAAGGTGCATTCACCATTCACCGCATGAGGTGAAGGTGGGGCAACTTTAACGTGGGGCAAGGTAGACCCTGGAGCAGAAGAACATCTTGTGCTGCCCAAGTTTGTCTAATGTGATAATGCCATGTGAATGGTGCCCGGTGAGTGAGATTTATTTCTGTGCACGACATGCCTGACAGTGGATGTTGTCATAGGAGCGGGCAGATATCGGTATCAGGCGTGGGAGGAAGTTCACTCAATCTCACAAGACCCAAGACTTGTGACATGTCGCCACATCTTTATGAGAACAAAGATAGGATGTATGTACAATTCCCGTTGACTGCCTCATACCTGTGCAGTTACCCCTATGAAGCCCGTGTCAGATCCACACACAACACGTCCACGCAGTCTATTCCTAGGGCTGCTACAAGCTCGGCCACTGCCGCCTTGATCCCCGGCCACTGATCGACCCTCGTTCGCTCCCATGCCACGAGAGCAGACGTAGTGTACAACGGCCCGGTCAGGCTGACTCTGATAGCGATGTTGTCCAGGTTCAAATACTTCATCTCGGCAAGAGGAGCGATTCCAGGCATGCGAGACAGGAACAAGGATGTGTCGGAGTCATCTTCGCCCTCCTCATCCTCTGATCCCTTTTGCAAAGGAACCGGGCGCTTAGACACACTGTCGAGTCCTTCAGAATCAGGTTCGCCAGCCTTGCTCTTTAGTTGTTGCTCCAGAAACAAACTGACGAATGGCTTTTGATCGAGAAGTGTCAGCATCTCCTCGTCGAGGGGATTCCACTTCAAGGACACAGGATCCAGAACGTTCTGGGGCGCATAGTCGATCTTGTACCTCATCTTGGGGCAGCTGTGGATGTAGAACCCAGCGTACCACCATCTGTACCCTTTCTCATGCGCAAGGGAGATTTCGTGCAACGCACCAAGCTTTCCGGGGTAATGCATGTGAATACTCTCGTCGTAGAGAAAGTAGACGGAGCTGACACAGTCAGGCAACAGGTCCAACACCCCAATAGCTACGAGCTTCCCATCTAACCGGTAGCATTGATGGTAGGAGCCTAGCTGCCGCACTCGACCATCCGGGCCGACATACTTCTCGCGTCGTAATGGTGAGCTGCACAGGAAGCGCTTGAAGCCCCTTTTTGTCCTGTCCTCGGGTGGATCCTTATGGACGACCTGTTGGTAATTGCTGTACACGGCAAACTTCTCCTCGGTGAAGTTGTCTTCTTCCAGAGTCACCACCAGCTTGTGGGCTGGTTCTGGAGGCGTCGCGAGGCGATCGTACTCCGCTTCGTGGATGCGATCGGCCAAGACGTACTCATTGTCTCTCTTCTTGGCCTCAGCCTTGCTTCGGGGATGAAGTCGGGCGCTTTCTTTGATGTAGCTGTCGCCCAGAACAAACTTGTTGAAGCGATTGGCGGTCTGCCTCTGCGTCCTCGACGGTTTGAACTCGTTTGAGTCGAGGCGAATCGTGTAATGAGGACAGCACGACTCGCGCTGATTCGGTCGGTATAAGAGAGTCCCTGATCGTCTCCAGCATCTATTGAGAAGTGTCTGGTAGAACGCACCACTCAGGGAGGACGCACTTGCGTAGTATGAGAAGCCTGCACAGGTGAAGTAAGATTATCGGTCCAGGTGAGCGAGGGTCAGGGAGTGTGTACGCTTAGACTGACTTCTATCGCCACAGTAACCGCACCGAGTCGACCGAGAGTAGCCTGCAGAGCGAAGTCAGAAGAGACCTTTCCATTCTACAGTGACACCCCATCATCAACAGGATTACTTTGTCATAGCCGTGGGGGTGCTGTGTGTATATCAGTGGTATCGTGACAGGCAACGGGCAGATCGACAAGGCCCGAATTTAGCTACACGGGAATGAGCCAACGACGACAGGAGAACACAGCACGTGTTTCGATGCAGTGACGAAGTTGTCGCAGGCAATTGAGGAGACCTGGGTTGCAGGGCGGGGGAAGTGCTCACCAATTGGGGTCAGGTACTCAAAGTCCGAACCTCCTGAGGACCGTCGTGTGCCTTGTGTTGCGGCCATCCTCAGAAATGGCGATTTATGACTGACGGTTGGTGATACGCTGCAGGTTATGGTGACTCCCCTGGCTGCCGTACACACCTCCTTGTATGTGTGAGTCAAGCTCTGAGGTGGGCGAACACAGATGCTAGTGGTGAGGCCGAGCAAGGGTGGCTGAGTCGATGGAGATGCTCAAGCCTAACGATGGTCCAGTCGGGGTCGCGAGGTCGCCTCCTAGAGTTCTGGTGATACAGACTGTTTGAGTTGCCAACCCTCGGAACAGGGATGTGACCTGGCGACGTTGTTAGCAGGTCAGGCGGTCAATGGAAAGTGCCATGAGACCAACAGCCGACAGGAACAAGTGGTCAACAAGGGGCAAACAAGCGGATATGGAGAACTCGCAACTCCCATTGAAGCTGTGGCACTGGCACTGCAGTGCGGGCGGCTGTGGGGTCGGTGTCCGTACTGGAGGAAGCCGCGCTCAGGTAGCGGACAAAAAGAATGGGCTCGGGTCCGCTGGCAATTCTGACATTTAGTGTGTAGCTTATTATAGCGCCCGAGCTGTATTCCCCACTATCGTCCTCGCTGCATGACAGTCACACTCCGTCACAAGTTGGAGGTCTGCTACTAGCGCTCATGACGATGAGGGGTGCTTCTTCCTGACGCAGGCGCCGATGCCTTGTTCGTATTAAATTCACCTATTGCCTCTTGTTAACGCGGGATGGTGGCCCTTCAACAGATGTCTCTATCCAATGACTATCTGGGTGCTTACACAAAGGAGTATGCTCTGGATGACCGACACAATGCGAACGCTCTTGTGACCAAGGCGCAAGCAAGCTTACATCGCCCACATTAAAATACACTAACCCACTACGCTACCTTAAAGTGAGAATAAACGCTTTTCGAGCACGTGCTCATGACAGCTGCAGTTTGTCCGTGCCGTGGGATCTTACACGCTTGAATTGTACGTGAAGGCGCCAAATTGTTACAGCCGAGCCAGATGTAGCAGGCCTGGCCCCCCCTGTGCCGGCTCTTCCACCGACCATCTGCACACGTTTGCGCATCTGTTCGTGCCTTGAAAGAAAGTTGAAAGCACTCAGTATATTGATAGAGCTTGTGATGCAACATCATAATAAAGTACATGAGTAGTAGTACTTAGGCAGAGTTCATCGTAGAGCTGGCCCAAACCCCCGCCACATTCCACCTGTATCCGTACCACTCCACCACTTGTTATATTTCACCCGTACCTATACATACTTCCTTCCAGGGTGCAGCGAGTCGGTGGGGGCCATGTAAAATGCGCGCCAGTCCTGTCGCAAGCTTATTTGTTGCGCCCAGGCTTAACAACACCGCAAGCAGCGCGATCATTGCGGCGGCGGACTGAACCCTCAAAGGCAGGCCATATATACGTACCTAGGTAATTAATTGAAAGGGGTCAGAACGGAACGAAAACCCAGGTGCGGGAAGTCGGGGGTAAAACTCGAACACTGACCTTTCATCTCCGGCTTGGTATTTCTTTCATTGCTCCCAGCTCTCCACTATAGTCCCAGCTAAAGAGTAGCATTGTGTGTTCCCACTTCTCGCCGGCACACAGCGAAAACGGCTGTCCGTCATCTCGGTTCTATCTGACTCAGGCAAAAACCCTTCCGGGCTGTTCTGAACCAAAAAGGCTCCTCGGAACTCAACCCTCGCCAAAGCCCGGACAGCTGGAAGTGTGTGGAAACAGCCAAAGGCAGCGGGAACTTTGGGTGTATCCGTACCACCTGCATCGACGCTGGGCGACCCCCCCAAAAACTTTCCAACAAACCCAAATCGCTCGCCAACTCCTCACAGCGACGCTTTCCGGTCAACTTTCTCTCCTTATTTTTCTTCGCCTCCCCAGGCTGGCCTGCGCGCCTGGGCCATTCACCACACGCCCGGCAACAAAGTCGTTCATCTTGAGGAAAGAGAAGCTTCTCTTGTTGTTTAATTCTCTTCACCTCTCTCTTACTGCTCTTTCTTTTGCTCCAAAATATACTAGGACGACGACCTCACGATGGCGCTTTGACCAGCCTGCCGCATAACGCACCCCACGTGGATAGCACTTGGGGAAACTCGCTCGCAGCGACAGTGGGATTTCGCAGCGTCTTGGACGACAAGATTCTGTCAACGACAGGCTCCCAAGCTATCCCTAGGGGAAAGGCATCTCAAGCCAGGAAACCCGCTGAACCGGGCTTCTGTTCCACATCACACGACTCTTTAAACTGTCAAAATGGGCGGGTCAGGATCTAACAGCAACGGCTCCAGTAGTCGATCGATGCACTCTCGAGTTGGCAGGAATAATCAACGTGAGTCGTTCATGCGCATTGAGACTCGACATGGTGTCATATGATCTGACCCGCCGCCTCTCAGGTTACAACTCGGGCGGCGAGCGACTTGTCGCCGGCGTGGTGCCTCTGACGGCCGATCAGAACTACGTCCTACTCATCCAGTCGACCCGTCGCAAGGGTTGGGTCCTACCCAAGGGCGGCTGGGAATCTGACGAGACATGCGAGGAGGCAGCACAGCGCGAAGCGTGGGAGGAGGGCGGCATCAGCATACAGGTCGACTACACGCTGCCCAGCATCGAGGAAAAGCGAGCGGCCAAGCCCTCCAAGGAGCGAGCCATCTACCATTTCTACCAGGCCACTGTCCTGAAGGAGCACGCCGACTGGCCGGAGAAACATAAGCGTGAGCGGAAATGGTTCACGTACTCCCAGGCACGCGCGGCCCTCGAAGCGAGGCCAGAGTTGCAGGCGGCCCTTGACGCATCGACCATGAATCGCCTATAGAAGATGTGGGGGAAAAGCATCTGCCATGGCGTCCCGCAAGCGGCGCCTACACCAGCTAACCCTGTGGTTGGGAAGGCGGTATAACTTATTGCATATTGGTCCGGCGTTTCGTGAGGATGGATCTGATTTTTACCCAACATAGAAAATGCCTGGGCTTGGCTACTGTCGCGCAGAGGTGCGAGACACGCAAGATAAACTCTGCTTTCACATGTGTATCCTTGCATGCTGATGGACACGCCGTAGTGTGATGCCATCACGAAAATCCATAGCGTAGATGTCCAGGTGAATGTACATACGACATAATCGTTTTCAATTGAGATGCATAGTCATCATGGCTACATTTTTTAATCACGGCCGCCATCGTTTCTCCTCGTGTGAGTGCCTGTGATATTCTCCGCGCGCTGCGATTCATGTTACCCCTCCATTCGTGACTTTTGGCGCGCCTGCCCCGCCATCCCGTCCAACACACTGCAGGCACTCGCGAGAGAGCAGCACCTGCTCTGACGTACCGACAAAGTCACGTGGTGCGGCTTTGCCATCTACAAGCCATCAATTCCGGCGGAACAACGACGCATGGCAAGGGTGGCAACGCAACGCGCGAGCGACAAGCATCACGAGCAGCGATGAATCTGTGATCACAGCCACAGCTCGCCCACACACACACACACACACGACAATGGAAAATCTTTCCATGGCCGACAATGCGCCGCCCTTGCAGGGTGGGCAACCGCCAATGGGGCCTGGAGGACCAGCGCAACCACCACCGCAACTTCCTCCTCAGATGTTCACCACTGCTGCCCAACTGCTGGACTTGACAGACAGTACGACTGCCGATCTTTCACGGGTGCATATGGTTGGCTGACGCGGGGGGTTGTGTACAGAGAAGCTGATGCTGTCGTTACGAGACGGGCGGAAGTTGATTGGCATCTTGCGGAGTTGGGACCAGTTTGGTAAGCCTGCCATGAGTGCCTGGCCGTCCACCGTACAAGAGGGCTGATGAATGATCAAACAGCCAACTTGGCTCTGCAATCCACCACCGAACGAATCTTTGCGCCACAGCCAGATGCCCCGGCCGACCAACCGCGCGGCTATTTCGCCGACGTGCCCCACGGTCTCTTCCTCGTCCGAGGCGAGAATGTTCTCTTGCTGGGCGAGATCGACCTGGACAAGGATGACGACCCGCCGCCAGGCTACGAGAGGGGCGAGGTGGCCATGGTGAAGAAACTGGCGGAAGAGAGGAAGACCCTTGACAAGGCCAGGGAGAAGAGGCGATTAAAGAAGCTCAAAAGCATAGGTTTCGAGGGGGAGAACCTGGGGGACATCGTATGAGGACCGGGATCAACGTTGCAAAGGGCTGGTGTGAGGCAGAATATTGTGAAATGCCTCTCACCTATGGACAGCCGGCTACGGCACCTCGAGGCGAGTGGGAATCTCGCTGGCCCCACCTGACAGGAAGAATCAGGAACCTTTCTTTGCACGACCCAGTTTCATTTGCTTGCATGCTTGCATGATTCGAGACTTGTCGTGTGTAGAACTACAAGATTAAGTGGTATCGATACGTACACGGGGCCCTCGCCCCTAGAGAATACACGGCTCTGCAACAAAATAGCAGGCGGCCCAAGCACCCAACGCCAGCATATCCGTACATCATCTTGTCATCGTCTATCAACTCTCTGGAACATCGGCACGGGGGCGGCCCCCGGATCTCGAATTCCCCCAAGCAGCCAGTCAGTCAACCCCACAAATCTGGCGCCCATGCCCTTTTCTCTGCTGTTGCTGTCGCCTTGCGCCGTTTCAATTGTGTGGCTCAAGATACGTCCCTCTTGGTCAAAGTCAAAGATGAACAGGCCAGTGAATGCCTTGCTGGCGTCCACGCCGCGACCCATTCGCAATGACCTGGCAACACTGCTGCCGCTCCCTTCGTCTTTGTCCGATTTGGTTTTCTCGCACCATCGCACCACGAGTTGCTCGGCCATCGCGCCTTGTCGCCTTGGCAGAAACGTCAACGGCTCAGACGTCATCCGCTCCGCGAGGACTTCAATCTTGACGTTGCCTATTATGGGCACCCTATTCCAGGCGATCGGAGATGTCCACAGTGCAGCATTATAGGCAACGCGACCGGACACTGTGGGAAGATGAGGATGCGTCGAGGGGAAAAGGTGAAGTGATATATTCGGGGCGAGAATATCTTGGGGCAGCGGCGATTGTAGAAGCGTCGGCATGCGTTCTTGGAGAATCCTCAAGGCTAGCAATCGTCAGCACCAGTCGCAACGCTTGGCTCAGGTGAGATTCAGAAACGTACTCTTTCCAAGCTTCGCCTTGTTGGGGTCCGGAGGCTTGTCACCGCCCGTGCCTACCCATAGAACCCCGGTCGTATCGAAGAAGGCTCTTGCGTCCCGTCGCTTCGGCGGTGGTATCGACTCGGTCACAATGTCTAGTGGAGGAAGGGTGTCGGCAACGGGTTGGTTTATAGGCTGAACTTGCGCTTTCGCAGGGCTGAAGATGGCCAGACCGCGACACAGCGATGGTGCAGAGCGGCCAGCGCCCTTGGCAGCTGTACGAAGCGGCGCCGCCATAGGGAGTTGCGGTTCCTCAGCTTCGTGAATCGAAGTGCATCAGCACAGGTGAGGCCGCGGATCGCGGAAGGGCGAGACGATCATGCGATGGACGAAGCAACCCTGGCGTCACTGGCTGGGGTTCATCGCCGAATTTCGTGGTGGGGCCGGTTCCTGGACAGTGGAATCAGAATCAAGTTTGGCGGGCTGTTTCACGGGTAGGCTGATTCAATTCTGAGGCAGTGCTTCACGTGACCCGCCTGTCAGCTGCACATTTGGGTGCTGGCACGGTACCTAGGTAGCACCCAAGGAAGGCACCTGGCCAGGCGCCTACCGCCTACCGATCAGCAGCCAGAGCAGCCTGACGTACTCCAGTCTTTAGTCGATTGTCCCGTCAATCGCCCGTCCAACCTACCTTCATCATCCACCATCTCCACAGGCCATCCTCCAGTCTCCCTCCATCGTCGCATCCAACGCAACACGCGCATCGTTCCCGCTACAAGTGCACTCGCTTAAACGCCCGACGACTACACCAGCCAGTCCTAAAGCAACCGCCATCATGAATCCCGAGTGGTGCGTACCGATCCCCTATTGCGAAACGGACCCCTGATACCGAGTGAACGGTTCGTTTGCTGACTCGACCTGCCAGAGTTTCTCTTCGACGCCGAGTTTCCTTCCTCGAGCCAACTCCCGCAACGACACGCGTCTGGTTGCAACATGTCTGACATTCGGCTAGATACGACTACCTCTTCAAGCTCCTCCTGATCGGTGACTCCGGTGTTGGAAAGTCTTGCTTGCTGTTGCGTTTCGCCGACGATACCTACACGGAGTCCTACATTTCCACAATCGGTGTCGACTTTGTTCGTATCCCCGTCACCCCTCTATCTCTGCGCGTCCGCAGGCTGACATGCCCAGAAAATCCGCACCATCGAGCTCGACGGCAAGACCGTCAAGCTCCAGATCTGGGATACCGCTGGCCAGGAGCGCTTCAGGACCATCACCTCGTCCTACTACCGTGGCGCCCACGGCATCTGCGTCGTGTACGATGTGACCGACATGGACTCCTTCAACAACGTCAAGCAATGGCTCCAGGAGATTGACCGTTACGCCACAGAGGGTGTCAACAAGCTCTTGGTCGGCAACAAGAGCGATATGTCTGACAAGAAGGTGGTCGAGTACACAGTGGCAAAGGTAGGTTTATGCTCCCTGGATGCATCATGTTGTGTCTCATGCTGATGGACCCCCCTTCGTAGGAGTTCGCCGACAGTCTGAACATCCCCTTCCTCGAAACCTCCGCCAAGAACGCAAGCAACGTCGAGCAGGCTTTCTTGACCATGGCCCGCCAAATCAAGGAGCGCATGGGCACAACGACCGCAAACAACACCAAGCCCAGCGTGCAGGTCGGCCAGGGCCAGGGCGTCGGCAACTCGAACAACAGCTCTTGCTGCTAGATCAGCAGCCCGTGTGGTTTCAGCGTTGACAGATCTTGGGAACAGCTGTTTTTGATGGAGTCTGGTTGGTGCAAACGTTTGCGGACTATTCAAGGACTACGACGCGCCGGGGAAGAGAGAGGTGGTGAAGGCGGTTCGGACCTGGACGCGCGCATAGAATCGGAATTGCCATCATTTGGATGTGAATGGCACGACTCGGCCACTCTTTTTTTCACCTGGGAGGAACACGGTCCGCTTGATTCCTTGCGAATGAGGTTCACAAGGGTGATGCATCTTTGGCCACAGGCAGGAAGCGAGATAAGCGGGCTTTCAACTTGCGCACGCGGAGCTCTTTGTCTACTTTGGTCTTCCCCCCTCCCTTTCCACGCTTTATTATGGTAATCAAGAATTCGGGTCACTCCTATCTATCACGGCCGCAAGGTCATTGCAATTACTGCCAGCGCGACATGCCTTTTGAATTGTGAAACATTGCCTACCGTTCTCGAGCAATATTATTGATTAGTCTAGGTTGTGCTTGCATGGTACACCCTCCGCAACGCGCCGCACAAAAAGACAGACTGCATTTGCCGCAGTTGGGTATCGATTAGATCTGGTCCTTCACAGTACCCAATGTACCTCCTACTTTCCCTCCCGATTTTCTGAGATGGTTATCAATATTGTCGCTGAAATTGGTGAACGAAAAAAATGCAGTAATTAATGTACTGTAAAAAAGAAACGCCAGTTTTTGGCTGAGTCATATCTCTTCCGAGCAAAGCTCTGTTGTGATAGAGAGAGACGAGACTTCAAGCGAGCCCAAGGAACTTCAAGGCCTTGTGACTGTTTGGTTTCTGCATCTGCGAGCGCTTTTGGATGAAGATGGGCATGAGCCTTCGCTCCTCTTCATCATAGTCGCTGTCGCCGGCAGGATCATAGGTCATGATCGATTCCGCTCCATCGGTCATAGCAGGACCACGCTTTGACTTTGGGTTCTTGCCTGTCCGAGACGTTTTGAACG